TAGTAATCACAGTCTGTTTAATTATTCTGTTTACCTGTGTTTATAAGGATACATAATACATACCAATTAATAATCAAAGCTTTGAATCAGAGAAACTCAGCTCAACGTCTGACTCGACTACTTACTAAGTGTGACCTTGGGCAAGTTACTTAAGATCATCCTGTATTGGTTTCCTCATTTATTTTATAAAGATAGCAGCTATCTAACAGAGGTAATCTCAGAATCAAAAACAGGGATGTATATAAAGCACTCAGCACAATACAGACAGCTAGTAACAGTTTAATATATTAATATAATAGTTTAATGTATTATTCCTAATAGGCAGATTCACGTCTTACTCATTTTTGTATTCTTTCCCATTCCTACCATGTAGTATTCTTCATGTGCTTAATAATTGCTTGTTTGATGAAATCTGATCAATTCAGAAATAATCTCCTAGGCAGATCTTAATAAGGTCCAAATTCTAATGAATATACAAAAACAACTTGCTTGTCTTATTAGCTGTTAATTTAAACATTAGCTTAACCAGTTTATACTTTGGCTACCATACACATAAATACAGATCCCAAAGCATCATTGCGAAAGTGCTCCACCCTGCATTATTATCACAAGTAGGCCAATATCCAACAAAGTGCTTGATAGGTTACTTAAAGGTCCAAATTAATCTAAAAACATTAGCAAGTATCCAATCATGAAGCAAGCCTTTAGCAAATTAAAGAATTCCCATGTGGATCTTCCTATTAAAACTATGTTAAATCCTGAACCCACTTCTCCAACTGGCTCCGTGAGCTATTTCCTATGCCAGGAGATTCCCAACAGAAACTAATCAGTTCTGACTTATTCTCCAGAAGAGTAAACCAAGGGCTGCAATGTTTCCAGGCCACTAAGATTCCTAATTCTTAAATGTTCACTGTAGACTAGATCAAAATGGGTACAAGTAGACTTTTTAATCCAGTAGTCAGCAAGAGCAAAAACAACAATAACCCTACAGCAATGGCCAAAGATGCATGAAGAAAAGGACTGACAATGGTAACTACAGGGAAGGAAAAAGAAGGTACAGCAGAAGACCTGGCCATCAAAAGGCAACTTCAGGAAAGCATAAGCTAAATTCAGTAAATGCAACTTCACAGGAGGAAAAACAGTTTCTAATATTATGTGAACTACACTGAGTTTAACTACTGTCACACTGTAAACATGAACAAGTGTAAATTCATAAAATATTCCTCAAAACACATATAAACTACACTCAAGAAAATATTAATACAAAAAAGGTGACAACATTTGCAGAGTAAATAGTGTTCCAGATGCATGGTGACATAATTAAAAATGAAGCTTAAGATTTTTCCAATGACAACCATGCTCATGTGAAATGTTTTCATCTAGTTAATGAACGCCCCACAACACAGATGTGTTTAATGCTAGTGAGTAAAATGGCTCTTCTAAACTTCCAAACTAAGAATGTTTTAAAGTTTCATTAAAATTTTAATACTTCCAAAAGACATGTTTTAAAAATTAGTGAAAACATTACATTTAAGATAAAATCTTTATAAAGGGACTAAAGAAGGTTGCATTAACTCATTAAAAAACAATGATAGAAGCAAATATTTTCAAAGTTAAAATTTATTTTAAAAAATTCTGAAACAAGTAACTTCATGGAAGAAAACATTTTTTAATTTCCATTAGTCTACATATTTTGCAAGAATAAAGAACTGTGTTCTATATATATTTATGCATTTTGTGTGTATATATGTGCGTGTGCGCACAGGGACCATATCTGAATGAGATCAATTACTCCCCACTGGGATCAATTCATTGATTCTAAATCTGTTAGGCAAAAAAGAAAAAAAATAGTAATGTTTTAAATTATTAAAGCACTGCTTTACATTATAGTCAACAAGTTCTCAGTCACCAATCCCTAATCTGCTTTAAATTTCAATTACTTTCAAAGAACCCTAATATACAGAGGGTGTCAAAAAAAAGTACACACATTTTAAGGAAAAAAAATGTATTAAAATTGTAGTAGTGCTCAATATATACCGATAAAAAAAGATGAATACAAGTCATCTTTTGACTTCTGCAATTACAATCTTTTGAATGAACATCATATTACACATTGCTACCATAATTCAATTCAACTTCGAAAAGTAATCCATAGATAACATCTCTTAAAGTGCGCATACATTTCTTTTGGCACCCCCAATGTATAATTTAAGCCCTTACTACATACACAGCATTATAATTACTGGCTTCACCCTATCAAAATATTTGCACACTGAATCCTGAAAAGGTAATATAAAAAAGGAAATATAAACAGATATGCATTATGACAATGGATCTGTTTATTTTGGTGATCTGTTATAGTCTCTCTTTTTATACAAACACTTGCAAAAACTAAGTATGCAAAAGACGATTTAAAGGCAATTTATTCTTAAAATACACTAAGCATCTAAAGTCAAACTCTTGAGGGGCACACTTCGGTGGAAAAGAATGTTTCCTAGATTTTATTAGTAAGAGGCAAACTCTAATGAAGTTTCTAAAGGCCAGTATTACAATTACGAATTTGCAGAGGAAAAGAGAAGATAAAGTGATTTTGGCTGTCATTTTCAGAGCTATCAAGGATAATCACAGTTAAATGACAACTTCAATATGGAGCCAGAGAGAACAATTCTCTCAAAATTCTTCCAAGAATTTTCCATTTTCAAAATTCACATGAAGCTTAGTTTTATTACTGATGCGCTCTACTCCATTCCTAGCCATTAACATTGCATTCCTAGCCATTAATATGATAACACAGTGTTTTTCAAGTTCAATTTATGGTTCTACTTCCTGAAGTGTACAACAGGAATAATTATGTTCTGGGTTTAGCACAACATTTACCAATGTGAACAATAAAGGAAAGCACTATTCATACAATCAGAATAGGAATGAATCCTATAGAGATCATACAGTTCAAAGAAATTTTCAACATGCTCTTACTTTATCATGGACTTTCAATCTACCTTTCCCAGATATCAGTGCTACTGACTGTTATTTACATAAGTGTATTAAAATGACCGAAATTTTACTTGTACATTGTGTAGTTTTGATTATCTTAAACTTTAAATGGACATGTTTAACTTGTTAAAAATCTATATTCTACCAAAAGAAAAGTACAAAATGTCAAAAAATAAATTCCAGGGTTAATATTATTTTAAAGCACTACAGCACAAGCCTGCTTTGTGTGATATATCAGACATTTTATCCAATAAGAATCAGCCTTCCTTTTTCACAATGCCATAAATAACGCAGAGAAATTTAAGTCTTCAAAAGGAAGGATTATAAACAACTTATTAAAATAAAATTCCATCTGAAGTAATTTTCTTGATATAATCTACATAATATCAATATGCTATTTAGTGGTTTATAAATTCAAATTTTTCTGAACCACATGCCCTTCTACCAACTTCGTATTAATAGAATATTAGCCAATAATTTTTTATTCTAACTTTTCTGCTCAAGAAACCAAGAGCCGCACTTCTATAGCTTCTAGAAGCCCAAATATTTCTGCTCCCTCCCTTCCTGCATGAGGCATTAAACCTTCATGTTCTAGTTTTATCCTCCTTCCCTAATAATCACTGTTCTTCACATTTTTATAGTCCACGTTTTTATTTGCAGAGTAAAGACTATTCAAGCATAAAAAGTATCCACTTTAACCTCTCACTCAAACTATAATATGCTAATACTGATCATTCTCTAATCATTTTATCCAAATTACCCAGCGATAGGATTGATGTTTTAAGTTCCATTTAAAAAAAACTTGATTTGGTTTCAGGGTAGAGCAAGTTAAATGTTCTGATCATTATGTTCTACACACTACAACTTCCGAAGAGCTTGAGAAGTTGACCAACACCCTCCCTCTCAAACATCCTGGGGCTCCTGAGCACTTCTCAGAGCAGCTGTTAGCAACTTTCAGATGCCCGCTGGACTATCATTTTGGTTAAATGATGTCATCTTGTTCCGCTTTACTTTGTCCTTTTTAGTCTTGAAATTAATGTAGAAAACCTACAGATTACTTGTAGAAATGAAGTACGAAAGAATAAACTTTAGCTCAACTACTCTCCAAAAGAAAACATTTTAAGATCCTGACATCAGTACTTACACCACAACATATGAGTTGTACATGACACTAGAAGGCTTGAAAGGATTCAATTTTCTACCTAAACTTAACCAAACATGCTTGCAAGTTTTCAGTGATTTCGAGAACGTTCTATATTTAAAAGGTGCTGGTGCAGCCTATCAGAACCGTGCTGCTCATATACAAGCACCGAATATCCTGCGCTTGGTAAATTTCAGGTACATTTCTTGTTGCCTGCTGAGCTTTCTGCACCGTGTCGCCCAATGATGCTCCCACAAGCAAACACTTTCCAGTCTTTCAAACGGCCTTCCTCCCACCACTTAAAACACACATTAGACTTAGAGGTTTCAGCATACTAACACAGAACCACTAATACCATACCACCACTAGGTATTGAGTCTCTCAAAGAATCCTCTTTAGCAGCCTCCCCTGGGACATTGTGTTCAGCGGGGCTTTGAACCTGAAAACTTGCTGCCAGCTGCCTTTGCAAAAGCAGCACCAGAGGCAAACTCAATACCGCATTGCTGTTGCTGACTTTTCCAGCAGCTTCAAAAAAAAAAAAAATCAGCCCAGAATCCTGCAGACCCTGCTAGCAATTCTGCAGCACAGAAGAGACACTCCGCATTGCTCAGCGTGGAATACCGGGGAGCCCGACTGAAAGGCGAGGAAGCGAGGTCCGTCGAGAGGCTCTGTAGAAAGTCGGTGTCGGGGGATAAAGAGAAGGCGTCTGGAGTACAGGGGACCGCGACGAAGCAGCGGCCAAGGCACTGGCGCCTGGAAGCCCGACTCGGCATCGCGCACCGGCCGGGGCCGGTCCCCTCCCGGGAATTGGGGTCCCACAGCAGCCGGCCGAGCCCCGCCCGCCCGCCGCTCCCCGGGCCCTCACCTGTCATGAGCGCCGGGCTGTCGCCCGCTGCCGCGGCGGGTGAGGAGGTGGCTGTCGCTGCAGAGCCCGCCGCCCGCCGCCCACGGAGGTGCCTGGGCACCAGCTCGCATCCGTCCGCCGCGCCAGCCACCAACAGCGCGAGCACCAGCAGCTCAGCCCAGCACTGCCGCCGCAGCCGGCCGGAGGCCGGGCCGGGAGTCGCGTGGGGATGAGGGCGCAGAGGAGCGGGGAGAAATCGTGGCGGCGCCCCGGCAGCCTGCCACTCGCCCGCTCCGAGAGGCGCCGCCGCCCGTGACTCCTCGGGCTGTGCCCGCCGCCTCGGACGCGAGCTCCCGCCGGACGCCAGCCTGGTTCCCTCGGCACCGGCGGCCTCCGGAGCTCGGGTCCCGGCTGCGTTCATTGGTTCCGGTTATTTAAAAAAAAAAAAAAAAAAGGTGGGGGGCAGAGAGGTACGGCGTCTTCAGGCCGCGCGCGACACCCCCGCTGCTGCGGCAGCGAGAACAGGATCCGCTGCTCTGGCGCCTCCAAACAGCAGCTCCAGCTCCAGCTCCAGCGCCCGCGCGGCTGCCGCCACCGCCGCCGCCGCGGCGCATCCCCCCGCCCCCTCCTGCCCGCGCCGGTCGTAGTACCAAGCTCTGCCCGACGCCTCCTCCCTCACACTCGCTCGCATACCAATCCCCCGCCTGCTTCAGCCCCTCCAAAGCGCAGGCGCGGCGCTGCTGCACTGCGCCTGCGCGGCACCTCAGCCCCGCCCCGGGGGCGTTCCCGGGAGGACAGGAGTGCGGCGGGATCGTTTATTAACGATTTAGCTAAACAGCGAAGATTAGGGGCGGGGAAAGAAGATGTGCCTGCCCCCCACCCCTATTAACTCCCCTACCGCGATTACCTGGGAGTTGTGGGACCAAGGGGATGGGTAGAAAAGTACAGACATCTCAAGTCGTTTGGGCGACTTACAGCCTTGTAGACTGCAGCAAAATAATTTCTTAGGTCCGGAAAACCTTGTAATCGGAAATAGCGTCGTTTCCAGAATTTCAATTTAGTTGGGGCTTCCAGAAGGCCAGCAGTGTACAAGTGGAGGTTATAGCCCATAGAGCACCGTTTCATTAAACATGTGAAACACTTAAAACGCTTGCCATTGTAAATGCACTATTCAAGAGCTCTTTACAAATTTACACGTTGTAACTCTTAATGATAGGTGGTGGTATCCTTGTTATCAAACCCACTTACAAATTAGGAAACTAAGGCCCAGGAATGTTAAATAACTTGTCTTGAGGTCCCACAGCTAATAAAAAGAGACAGGGCCAGATTTACCACCACCGAATGGAAATATTGAAAGGTGTTTGCTCTAGCCTCTCCTATATTCAAACATTATCTGAACTCATCACCTCCCTACCACCAACCCATCCCATGGAGTCTTTGCTGTCGATTGAATAGGTTAACAGAAGAAACATGGTCTCTCTCTCTCTCTCTCTCTCTCTCTCTCTCTCTCTCTCTCTCTCTCACACACACACACACACACACACACACACACACAGTTGTTTAAGATTTGCACATAGGGTTCTTAAGCACAAAGTTTCCTGTTTAGTACTGAGTTTTTGTTGTTTGCTTATGGGTTTGAGTTTGTGTCTTACTGGTTTGTTTTCTCAAGTCAAGAAGATACTCAAATTACACAATCTCCCAAAGAATGTCTTAGGCAGCCTGGCCAACATAACCATGGATATCATTCACTGTGGAAGTGTGGTGCACACTTTTAGAAAAGGATCAAGAATTTCTTTGAGGCTAATCAATCTATCAACAATGATTTCTTGACAGACTTCTTGGGGTCATGGTGTTCAGGTGGCAATTCTTTATAGGGCAACAAGGAGATTATATTTCCCAGGCTGAAAGGCAGAGCAATGAAGTCGCATGCTTGCTGAGTGTTCACCAAAAGGACATAATTCTGCTAGAGGACCAAGAAAATATAAATAAAATAACAAATACTGTCTCCAGAAGGCAACATTTCATTCATTTAATAGTTACTGAGTGCCTAGTATGTACCAGGCAGGGTACTGAGTATGAGGATTCAACCCGAAATAAGAGAGACACATGAAAAAAGTCATTTAAGTCAGTATTCAGGGATATAAGACAGAAAACAGAGTCCTTGCCTGAGGAATCTTACAATCTTGCTTAGGAGATAAAATGTACACCCATTAAACAATTAGAGATGAATACAAGGTAGTAATCATTAGTTAAATTGGCTAGGTAAGCTGTGTTATAGCAATAACAGCAGTATAAAACCACTAACAAATTAATAACCGAGGCCAACCTTCTTTAAACAAAGGTGATATGAGTTTTTTTCTCTTTCTTTGAAAGATAGGATGTTGACGCTGAGAGGGTACTGGATTTGGGGTTGTGATTGTTTGTTCTTATGGGGGAGCCACAGAGGAGACAGGGGAACAGCAAACACTCTCTCAGCAAGCCAGGGGTCCAGCAATAAATCCCCATCTTTGTCACAGATACCGAAGTTTCCCACTATGAAATGAGTGGCCAGAATGCGTCCTCTTGCTGAACAGAGGTAAAGTATCACTGTGTATTTAGCTAGCATCAACTTTAGTACAGAAAAAAGTCCATTGCTTTGGAAGACAAGCCTATCTTTGGAATTAGAGCTGCATCTGTTTGCAAGCTGAACATAAACAGGTTCCCGTTGAGGCAATCGCTTCCCTTTCTTCTCTGACTTCCTGTCCCACTTCCAAGCCTTTGCTTTCCTTTCCTTACCTCCCAAACGCTTTCTTCTCTCCTCTTGCCAAATCCCAATTCAGAATTTACTTTGAGCGCCTTTTCCTCGCCGCCTGTCTCCTACAGCCTGGTTTATACCTCTTAACATCCTAAATTCCCGACTTGCCATTTATTTACGGAAGGTCTTTACTGGCTAACTTTCACCCTTTCATGACTTCAAGCGCCCGGTGGGCAGCGCTGAGTTTTTGGAATCAGACAAACCTGGTGGAAATGGCAACTCCACCCCTTTACAGCTGTGTGACCTGTAGGCAAGTTAATCTGTCCTCGACTTCCAGAGAAGGAATTAGGGATCATGCCATAATGCCTGCCCCACAAGGTTGTTGGTGGCGGCGGGAGAGTGAAATAACAGGTCAGCCTTTGTGCGGTGCCTGGCACACTCGTACGTTGTCATCTCTCGGGGAGAGCTGGCTCCAGGCTCTGGGCGTGTATTCGGAGCGCGTTCCAGGCTTAGGATTGTTAGCACATCACACTTTGCGTGGTGGTTTGATTTCACCTTCCGACAAGCAATTCCTTAACTCCGTGGGGCGCGCCATGCAGACACGCACAGCAGGATCCGTCCACCCTCCCCATCCCAGAAGCAAACCCGCCCTTCCCGAGTCCAGCTCCTTCCCCATCTCCTTCTTCTGCCCCTTCTCCCCCGCAGCCAGGACATCCCACGATGCCCCACCCGCTCCAACCGGCAGAACCGGATCTCCTCCGGCTGGCGAGGCCAGCAGCGCGCCTGCGCTGCCGGCAGCCTCGCGCATGCCCGCTGTCTCCTGCCGCCTTTCCGCAGAGGTGCCAGCTCTCAGGCTCGCGCGGTTCCGGGACACCGCTCGACGCTGCTCGCCCGACTTCCGGCTTCCAGTCCGTGGGCGGTGCGTCCGGGAGCCCGGCCGCCGCGCGATGACGTCACCGCGCGGGCGG